ACCCCAGAGAATAGAGTCAACATTCAAAAATATCTTAGATTGAAATTAAGAGCCCAAACAAATCCATTTGTTCAAGAAGGTATATGGGAACTGTTCCATTTCACTTCAGAAAAATCAGTCACACCAATTCAGGATTCAGTGAGCCTGCCATCTGACAGGACGGTAGTTTGTGGGGAGAAGAATGGAAAGTTCTGGATTTGTTCATGCCTCCTAAATGTGCAGTGCTTTCTGGGCAGATACACCGCATTGCCTGCCATGGAGCCCAGAGCTATGTCTTAGATGTGGCAGAGTTGCATGAATATGGGTCTTCGAGGTTCATGGCATTTCATCAGTGGGAGTCAGGAATAGTAAAAAAATGTTCACGTATCCCGTTTCACCAGTGAAAGCAGAGAGGGTGAGTGAATAGTCCCATCCCATCTGCAGGGCTCAGACTCCAGTGAAGAGTTGGAAAGGTCCCTTGTCAGTTAGCATTTTTCTAGAGGGTAGTAGCCAAGATGGAAGGGTACCGACATGTTTTACAGAAAGGGGAGACGAAAGAGCTGTGGATACTTTTAGGTGAATCTGTTACATGGAAGAGTGATTGCACTTACCTCTGTTGCCTTAGGGAAGAATGGCCGTGTACGCGTTTGAGTCTTTGCAAGGTCTGATTCTGTTTCTGTCTCTGTTCTTCCGGGGGGATTTGCTTTTACTTCCAGCATGCATCTGGAGGCACCCCAGCCCAGGTCCATCGCATACGTAGTCTTGACTTGTGGGGTTTTTGGACCATCCAGGTAGTATGTGCATTTGGATCACAGAACTGGACCTGTTACAAAATCTCACTGCAGATTTTCTTTCTTCTTTCATTCATTTATTCAAAGCAGTTACTGAATTATAAAAAATCATTGCTTGAGATCACCTGGTATTGACAAGTACTTTCAAGAAAAAAGCCAACCTCAGTGGTTATATATACCTTCCTGGAGCTCCACTTTCACTAACTCTTTGGCCCTGTAGGTTTTCTTACATTCTTGTTAGCTCATAGGTTTTTTTTTTTAATATTTACAAATAAATATTTTGGGGTGTTTGGGTGGCTCACTCGGTTAAGCATCTGACTCTTGATTTCAGCTCAGGTCAGGAGTCTGCCTGGGATTCTCCGCCCCACCCCCTGCCCCGACCTCCTGTGTGCATGCACACACTAAATTAATTGATTAATTAATTAATTTTATATCATCTGTTTGTTTGCTTTCAGTAGAAAGATTCATCAAGGTGCCAGAAACCAAAGTCCATCTGTTGCGGACAGAGAACTATATCATGAGATAGGGATCTTTCTTGCTGATAACTTAGGAACCATATTTTAGTGTGGGGAGGGAGGTAATACAGGAGAGATTCCTATTTTAGGAAGAAGGTTGATATGTAGATAACCTTTGGGGTCTCTTTCATTATAAAAGTATATAGTTTTAGCTAAAGTAATCATTTTTTATTTCTCTTAGGAATTTACTATTTTGAACAAGACTAATATTATCGAGTGACATTTAAATCTTGTTCCCCTAACAGTGGAAGTTGTGAATATCTGTCAGTTATTAGGAAACATTGAATCTGCACTAGAAGTCATCTTAATCCATTCTGTGGTTTTGAAAGCACGTTCTTAATCTGAAATTGTTGAACGAAATTAGATTAGTTCTTTAGCCCTCCCTCCAGTGTAAACACAAATGGAATTATTTGTAGATGATTGGCATTCTTGGAGAGATACTGCACTTTTCACGTAGAAATCAGTTAAGATGCCCCAAGGATTTAATTTTTTTCTGTCAAGGATTTACTGTAAAGTTTCTTCTCCTGTTCTCCATCTGTCCAGCTTTGTCTCATCCTTCCAGATCAACTTCGTCTTCTTCAATTCCCTTCTCACTGTGACTGGCAGTGACCAGGATGCCAGATGCTCTAAAGACCTGTTTCTGCCTTTATCAGTCTCTAGATTGCTTAACAAAAAGTATGTTTGAAAAGTAGAGCTATCAGCTCTCCATTGACGTGGTTGACTCTTCAGTTCAGCTCTAGAATAAACGATGATATCTGCAGAAAAATAACTTCCCATTAAACAAAGCACTTTGCATAGCACCATCTCTAGACTCAAAGGCAAACAGAGGAACCTACAAATTCATGTGAACTATGGGCCTGTAATGTGCATATTATTCATTTTAATTGGGCTAGAGAGATGTCACATTTGGAAATGGCATTTAATGTTCTGATATTAATGTGTATTAATGCTTTGCAGAATCAAATTTAAGGGATTGCACTTAGCAATGAGAATTGCTACCTATCAATGAGAGAAAGGATGTTGAAAGCCCCTGTCTGCTTAGAGCATATCATAACAGATAGATTAAGTTTGTAGAGTGACTTCAGGGTCTTTCTGTGAACTCTAAGTGTATTTTCTCTATGCGTATGGTTCTCTGAATCACCTATCTAGTGAAAGAACTTTCCTCTCTCAATGTTGTATAAGTGATGGGTGGGCCCACTCCACCGATTGGAGTTCCTTCCTAATAAGGGCACCCCAATCCATGGTTGGGACCAATACATGATTCTCAAGTGAGCCAGTCCCCTTAGATTAAAGTAGTGGTTCTCAAAATTTTCAGTGTCAGGACCCTTTAAGAACTCTTAAATTAAAACTACTGAGGTCTCAGTAGCTTACATATTAATTCATTTACAGAGGACAGTATCATTGCTTTGATACTGTCAAAGCAATGATACTAATACATGACATGTAACATCTGGAAAACTTCACTGTATGATAATGAGAGAATGAGAATGAAAAAATGACATTTTAGTATTATGAAAAATATTTTGACCCCAAAGACCCCTGTCGTGAGGCTCTTGAGGGACCCTGTGGCTAAAAATTAAGTCTAGATAGAAAGATAATAAGAGAGAGAAAAAGAGAAAGAAAGAGCTAGCCAACCAGCCCCAAAACCTTCTTTCCAGATATCAAGATAGCTACTGGTTTTCCTGCAAGAAGCATTCTTGGCAGCGAAGTCAGAGGCCTTGATTTTAAAACAAAGTTGTAGGTATGCCCGGTAGGTAGAAGAACTGGGTGGGAAATACACTTTCCATGGTCTTGGGACCCTATCCATAAAAGCAGTTCATTGGCAGGAAGACCTGCTAAAATTTGGAGACACCATCAAGCCAAACCAGAGGTGCAGAACAGCACTGAATGAGTATGTGCTTGCCCCAATAGACTAGAGGGAGTCCTGGGGAGTAATCCTGCCAGCCCACAGCTCTGTCTGGTCCAGAGCCACAGAGGCAAGTTGGAGGAGGTCAGAATATTCAAGATAATCCTGACATCGAACAGAGGGACATAACCTGTGGGGTAGTTCCAGTGAACAGGGAATTCTCTTTCAGATGTCAATAAATCATGAGCTGGAAGGCTTGGGTAATTCTCCAAGTTAAGTTAAATGCTGTGAGGATATGCCAAAGACATGCTGGAAATCAGTGTCCAGCAATCTGAGTTGGATGTTAAAACCCAAATCTGAAAATGAACTATAAGAAAAAGCTATTAAATATATAGCAGACAAAATTGGCCAAATTAATAGCATAGTTCAGGGTGACGCTGTCAAGTAAAGGAGATACAATTAGCTCATTATAATTGTTCCTGACAAGTGATTTGGAAATCGAGAGGAAGTGGTCCTTCCTCCTCCCTCTTTTTTTATACTCAAATCATTTTCAGAAACAATTCTCCCTCCCCAGATTGTAGGTTGTGAATATCTTGATACGACCAAATGTATTTTTAAATGTTAACTCCAATTTCCAGAGATCTAATAAGCTGGAATATGTTAGTTGACATTTTCCGAAGTCCTGGTTTTCAAGGCAAGGTGTGTTGTAATACCAAATGCTCAGTTTTTCTATTTCTGTTATATAGACTGTTATATAGACTGGCCCACCAGTCTAGAAGATGGAAAGCGATGTTCCTTACTGTTTTATGCAGCCACATCCTGCTGGTTGTTCCCCACCTCCGGAGCCGTTAAGTAGCAAAAACTCATCATCTGTTAGTAGTGCTGCTGAATTATTCAGGGAAATCCTTAACCAAAATAAATGGTGACTATTCCATCCAATTTCTCCTCCTCTCACTTTCCCATCTCTTTTCCCCATGGACAGATTTTCCAGACTTTGAAGCCTTATGATCACTGTTAAAACATGCAGGAAAATAATCGAATACCCAAATAGTTTTGTTGCACTTGGGCTTAAAGTCAGTGCTTAGTTTGGTACTGGGATTCTTCCAGTTGAAAAGGGAAATGTGGTGGAAATGGGCGTTTGTTTAATAAAGCTCATTTAAGCCTTTCTATGATCATCCAAGAAGTATTGGAAGGACTCCTTTTACAACAGGATCGACCTTTTAATTTGTTTGTCCTGAGGCTGGTGTTTGTGTTCAGAGTCCATATCAAGCTCCATCCTCCTCTGTGTGGTTTCTCAGTGCTGTTGCTGCTTCACCGAGAAATCTCTCCCTGACTCCCTTCGAGGCCTGGCAGGTCCCTGCTACCCGTGCAACCCTTTTTCTCCCTCGCCTCCCCACCTTTTGTTTCAGGACTCTCCTGCTGCCCCGTCAGTAGCTTCCATCCCTCTCAGCTCTATCGTCTGTGAGCACCAAAAGAGTAGAAATAAGAAATGGTTAAAAGGGAATAGATCCGTGGACGGGGAGAAACAAGTGAATAGGCTGTTGCTTTTCATTTTAAGTCCTTCCAGACAGTTACTGCTTTGATGGTGCCAGTTGCCTCCACATAACCATATTATTATGTGTTTCTGTGCTTCTGCACATGCTGTTCCCTCTGCCAGGAATGCAGATTCCGTTGGTAAGGGTCTTGATCATTGTGTTGGCTCCCCGCATCTGGACCTGGGTGTTGCATAGGACCCCATGGCTGAGCTGGCTTGGTTTGGACAGGCTGCCAGGTAGTGCTCTGCCCAGGGTGAGCAGGGCTGGGTCTCTCTTACAAAGACTGAGGTGGACTTACTAAATCCTTTGGGCTTGCCCTCCCTGTTTCCCACAGCAGTCTGAGCTGTCAGCCGAAGAAAGTCCAGAAAAATTAGGAACCTCCCAACTTCATCGTCGCAAAGTCATCTCCTTGAACAAGCAGATTCTACAGAAGACCAAACATCTGGAAGAGGTTGGTGTTTTCTTTTTATAATTTCTTTCAAGTAATATGAAGCTTTTCTTCAAGAAGGGAGAAACCGGAGAAGGAATGAAGATTCATGTTAGAATGGAGGTTCTAGAACAGGGATTAGCATACTACAGCCCTTGGGCCAATCCATCTACCACCTCTTTTTATAAGTAAGGTTTTCTTGGAATATATGCACATCAACTTGTTTATGTATTTTCTGTGGCCGTTTTCAAGCTCCAGGGCAGAACTAAGTAATTGCAGCAGAGACCACATGGCCCAGAAAGCCTAAAATATTTACTACTTGGCCCTTTCCAAATGTGGTTCACAAAGCCTAAAATATGTACTGTCTGGCCCCAACTGAAAAAATTTGCCAACCCAGTGTTAGAAGAACATCACAAGACTTAAGAATAGCATTTATTGATTGACAGTGTTCACTGAGCACTGCTCCGTGCTAGGCATAAAACTAGGCTGTGGAGATGAACGAAGAACTAACTCATTCTTTTCACACAACATCCTTGTGGAGGAGGTACTGTTGTTCTCCTCCTTTTATGAATAAGGAAACTGAGAAACAGAGACATGAGGTAGTTTTGCCTGTGATCACACAGCTTACCAATGGTAAAACCAAAATTTTGAATATATAGATCTACCTCATAGTTTCTAATTGACCCCATAATGCAACAGAGTGTATATGTACTATAATTTACTGTACCTGTCCCCTGTTCACGGGTATGTGGATTGTTTCAGGGCTCCCCCCCAACTGCAAATTTACGCTACCATGAACATTTTTGTAAAATGGTCATCTTTGAGCAAATATGTATTTGTATAAGAATGATTTTAGGAAGTGGGATTGCTGGGTCAAAAATACAGGCATTTTCTATTTTGCTCGAAACCATCAAGTTATTCACCAAACATTCTACCAGTTTATATGTTTATCAATAGTATAGGAGAGAATCCAAACTTCTTAAATCCAGGAACCCCTCTTCCAAGATCATGCAGGTGGAAAGCAAGCAGGAGGCACTCATGGCCTTGGTGACAAGCGTGGGGAGAGTCCTGCCCCAACAGAGAAATGGAAGAAGGGCCAAAGCAAGAGAAGGAGTAAAGAGTGGCTCCTGGTCCAACAGGGGAATGCATTATAGAGGCATAGAACTGGAACGTAGCTAGTAGGCAGCTGAGCAGAAACCTGAGATTGAGGAAGGGAAGAGGAATCCAGAAAGGGATGGTAATCCACTGCTGAATTTGGGGCAGGGTCTAGGAATTAATTTTGAAGAAGAAAACGAGGGCAGGATGATCATGAAGGATTCCAGCAAGATGAAAAGTAGGCTAAGCTACTGAGACATCCTGTGTTTGGGAAAAGATGGTCAGATGAGCAGATGAAGAGAGCTCTTATAAGTTAAATTAATCAAGTGGAAGAAATGAGTCTTCACTTCTTAGCAGGCTCCGTCCCTGCCAAGATCCAGCTCACATGAGTCTTTGTTGTGAAGCCTTCCTTAGACATGCTGATAAGCCAGACTGTCCTAGGACCTCCCCTAGGCCTGGCTCTTCCCCAGATATTCTCATACTCTGATCCCTAGTGCACTGGTCCACATCCTTGCATGTAAGGGCTAGGTCATGTTCCTCACCTTCTCCTAAACACCTCATGTGAGCAGAGCACTGGGTAAATGTTGGATGGGGGGCTGGGTGGGTGCATGGGTGAGAGGTGGACAGGAAGGTGGGAAATGCCAGGACCCCTTCCTGGAGCCACAAAAGGTCTTCAGGAGTTCAGTCACTAGTATTTCAAAAGAAAAATTCTCCAGAAATATTCTTCTCTGCCAATTACACAAACATGTCAATGAAAGTTCTCATTGCACAGATGGCTTCCTTGAAGAAGGAGAAGCCAGAGCCTACCTGCTTCCCTCCTTTATCACTCTTGTTCTCTGCTTGAGTTGGCTTCTTGATAGGCCTTTTTGGAAATGTAACCATTCATCAGTTATGAAGACTAGAAGCATGATTTAGGAGTAGTGATTTCTGAAGGCGACATAATTCTTTAATGGGTTGCTTACACGTTTCAGGATGGGGCAAGTTATTTTGAAGCAATCGTTGAGATACAGGATATCTTTGCTAATTTGAACACGGGTAATAGCCAGCGTCTGTTTTCATTTTCTGCCTCTTCCCCTTTTCAAAAGTGGAAATGTGCAAACTCTTTGAGCTTTTGATGAATGTTTTCAGATTTTTGAAAGTTCATAGCACAAGAATATATCTTTTAGTAAGGAAAAGAGAAATGACATTTTCCTGATGTACGTTTACAATCATGTAACTTTGAACAGGAAAGTCATTCATCTTCTGTCTCCTCGTGTTGAAGTCGTGAATTCTTTCATCTATCTCAGATTGTTTGCCAGCCAGTCATATTCTGTGCTAGCATCCTGAGTTGTGAGATGCAGTTTGTATTCTGGGAATGGGCACAGTGGGTAAGTAAACTGGCTACTTTTCCGTAGCCATACAGAAAAGTCAGACCTGGATTTGAATCCTGGCTTTATCAGTTAGCAGCCGTGAAACTTTCATCCAGCAACTTAACCCCTCTGAGTCTTTAGTTCCTCATATGTAAAATGAGAAAAACGTCTTCTTCCATTGAATGTAAGGATTCAGTGATAGGATTCATGCAGAACGTCTCGTTTGTCCCCTGACATATAGTTGGTGCTAACTATATGAATTTTGTCTTCATCTGTTGTCAACAACCATTCTAAAATTCCCACATTCACTCAGTTTAAATCTCTGTTGAATTTCCATTTTCCCCTCTGTGAGATGGGGATCCCCTCACAGCTGTGCTGTTTTGAGGACTGAACAAGAGCCGATATCTTTTCCCTTTCTTTTCCAGCTGCAGGCAAGTCATAACGGCCTACAAGCCAGATACGATGAAACAAAGCAAACTCTGACAGAGGTGAGATTTTCAGAACCACTTTTGATCTGCATCACTAATGAAACATCCTGGATTGTCAGCCTTTGTGGACAGTTAGGGCTCGGGGGCCGTCTGGGGACAGAGGACAAACACATTGTAGCGCATGACCCCTGCCGTCAGTTTACCCACACCGCCATGTTCAAAAGCCTCAGCAGTCTTGGCAGGGGACACTGCCATGGGCCCTAAGGATGGGGAAGGGCTTCCTGAGGAAGGCCAGGCTGATGGGCTGGGCATGGGCCTCAGAATTTGAAGTGGGCCCCACTCCTCTACAACCTCCACAAGCCGCAGGCTAGAGAACAGCCTCAAAATCCTGAATTCCTGAAGAATGAGGGGGTTTCTTTTTATAAGATGAGAGAACTGCAGAGGGCTGTAATTTGTTACTCAGAATTGCCGGTAGAATTGCCGGTTTTCTTCTAGGTGGGATGGGGGACAGGGTCTCAGGAGGAGGAGGAGGGGTGGTAGGAATATTTCAAACCACGTGACCTGTTTTCTCACCTGGGTTCCGGAGTGTGCCATCTCCTGTCAGTGTTAGTGTTGTTTTCCTCCCACTGCTCATTGCCTAGGAAACTGGGCCAAGAAAACAAACACTGTGTCAGGAGGGAAATTTCGATATTTCTGTCCCTCGCGTCTCCATAGAAAGCTGTCCTCATCTGGATCTGATGGTCTCTCCTCTTTGTGATTTTGGTGCTCAGGCCCTAGCTGTACTCTACAAGGACCACATGCAGGGGGGCCCTGCCCAGGACTTTCTGAACCATGTGGAAGCAGGACTGATCTTCAGAGATCTCTCTGAGACCAAGGCAGTCCCCGCTTTTCTTTAAATTTCACATGAAATTTGTCTAAAGTTCTTGTTTCTGTAGCCATGTGTCGCACTCAGTTCATTGCCTTGTTGTCAGATTGACAAAACTTTATAATTCCTACTTGGGCTAGTCTCTTCAGTGATTATCAGAATGTTTGAAAAGGGAAGGCAAAAGAATGAGAGTTGGAATGAATTCTTTGTCCTTCTCTCCAAAGATGCCTGTGTTGCATTTGTACAGATGAGCTCTCTTTACGCTGTTCTGTGACTGCATTCCTATGAGTTGGATGGCAGACTCCTGGGGGGAACCCTGCTGCTATCTAAATGTTAATGCCACAGAGTCCCTGGCATGAAGCTTGCCAAGTCATGGATCAGTCTTCATATAACCATCTGGGGGAGATTAAAGGCAAAGCATCTTGATATCAGTTTCCTAGGACACTTAACATGCCTTAGGATATAAATCCTAAGTGGCTCTGAAGTCGTTTTCTTTGTACTGAACACTAAATCAGATATTTGTTGAGCTCCTTTCATGTGCTAGAAGGGTAGGGATGTGATTTAAGTCAATAATAGGAGCTGGTGTTCTTATCCTCAGATAATCATAGTAGCCGACCTCAGTGTGTGCTGGTGTGCTCCAGGCACCTGCCTTGTACTGGTCCCCTGACTCTCCATAACCACGCTGGCAACGCTTTTACCATCCTTGTGCTGCAGATGGGGCACTGAGGCCATGCAGAGGCTGCCAGACTCCAGCACTGGCTGTCTGGCCCTGCCTCTCCAAGGGCTCACTCACTGTGTAGTAGGGCAGTCACCCCGAGTCCCATCTTGGGAAATGGGATCTACACCAAACTGAGCACTCAGCAACTTCTGGAGAAGCCTGCCTGGTCAGAATACGGAAGACCAGACCCCTGGATAAGTGGTGAACTTCACCTTTGGGCCTCAGCCTCCTTATCTGTTTCAGTCAACAGTTGGCCAACACGAGCACTCTGACCCCTTCCCTCCTGGTGCCCGGTTTCACCTTCTTGGCGACACCTGCCCTCCCAGGATAACCTGGCAGCACCGAAAACCAGAAGACCTGTCTTGCCAGCAGATTGAGTAAAGTGGAGCAGGGCAGGGAAGGTCAGGGACAGAGGGCAGCACTTGACAGCTGCGGGGAGGCTGCTCGCCCTTGCTTCGGCAGGCCGCCTGCCTCTAGCCTGTCCGCTGTTTAATTTCAGCAGTCACGACTTTAATTTCCTGTGTGTGAGGTTGATTCTTTGAAGTATATGCAATATTCTCTCCCATTTCTCTAAGCGCATTAATTGTGTCTAAGGTTTTTCTTGATCTATAAACTTTCTTCAGATCAAAATTCATTTGTTCCATTTTATCTTTCTCATTTATGGTTTTATCTTTCTGCCCATGAATTTGATAGTTCTTGGTAGCATGCTTATCTTTGATTCTGAAACTTCCCATTACCAACTGTGTGGATTCTGTACCCATTGTACGCAGCCGGCTTTGTGTGATTATTCTAGAAGGGTGGGTTCTCCTGTTGGGTGAGATCAGCCAGTAGTAAGTGGTACGTGGTGTCTGGACACTCCACCTTTCACCCTCTCTCGCCAATTCCGGGAGCCTGCCTGCCTCTGGGGCTTGAGCTCCAGCTGGACGTTAGAGGAGCCAGCCTCACCGCTTAGCCCAGCTGTTCCTGCTGTGATCCCAGCCCTGCAGATCACTCTTCCCGTGTCTGCTGATCCCACACAGAGGCCTCCGAGGCCCTGCTTCTCTGTCAGCCACCTTCTTGGCCCTGAGGTACCTGTTCCCTTGTTTGAGCGTAGTCATCTGGGTTTTTTAGGGCTGGAGGCAAGAAGGGCTGATCGCACTTTATGCTCTTCTGTTTTCAGCTACTACCCTTGGAACGTTTTTTAACTTATTTTTTGTTTGTTTGTTTTTTGAGTAGGTAACACAATTCACACAGTTCAAAATTCAAAAAGCACAAAGGTTGTAGCACTGTAAGCCAACCATAGAGTTGCCCTCTCCAGAGGGGAACCAGTGTCTTAAGAGTCAGAAATATTTCATGCACATGCAAGGAACATGTATATACTTTCATACATGTCTACATGCAGGGTATGAATTCCCTCCTACACACTGGAAAGACAGGGCATCAGTTTTTTGTACATTGTTTTCCTCCAGCTAACAGTAGATCCTAGAGATCATCCTTAAAAAGCTGCTTTATTCTTACCTTTTCTTAACAGCTTAGCATTCCATGATATAACAGTACACCTCATAAATGGAAATACGAGTTTCTTTAAAATTTCTTTTTTAAAATCCTCACCGTTTGACTCAGAAAAAGAAAGTGAAGTTATTCAAGAAGAATGGATTTAACCCTTCCCCTGCTAATAGCCATGCATGGCATTTCAATCAGGTCCGTCCCTCATAGCCTCTTATTCCCCCTTCCTCCTGACCTGCCAAAGGGCCCCTGCTGTGAGCATTGCTTTCAGCTTCCCACCCGTCTGCTGCTGTGGTTTACAGCTATTGCCAAGGTTCTTAGACCATCAGAATGTATCTAAAAGGGTCCAGTGTTGACCTTCCCTGTCGTGCTCCCCACCCCCATCCTGTTTCTCTCGTCCACCTGTTTTCTCAGCGTGCAGCCAAGTCCGGTGGCCCGGGCCAGCTGCCGGAAGTGGGGCGCAGATGTGAGCTGGGGGAGGGAGGACGCGCTCACTCTTCGGTCCTCCCCAGTCCCTAGCAGCAGCACCTCCTCTCTCTGTCTCTCTCTCTCCCTCTCTCTCTCTGTGTCTCGCAGCTGAAGCGTCACAGTGAGAAACTGGACAAAGAGCAGGCAGCCCTGGAGAAGATAGAATCCAAAGCAGACCCCAGGTGAGAGGTTTCTGCCTGTGTGTGTTTCCTCCCTGAAGAAAGTGAGTCTGCCAGTGCTGGGTGGTTTGTTTTGAGCACAGGACCAAGGAGCCCAGGGTCACTGCCTCCAGCCCTGAGTCAGTCATTTCCTTTCACACACCTGATCCAGAATGTGGCAACTCGCCATTGCTCAGGTACCTGCTGACATACGGGGCCACATGGAATCTGCCACCTCCTTCACCTGATTCCTCCTGGGAGCAGATGCAGCACATTCTTTTTGGGGGTTTTTGTTTTTAAGAACCAAATAATACATTCACAGAGCAAAAAGACATGTGGTGGAAGTCCTCCTCCCACCCCCATGCGCCAGCCACCCAGTCTTCCTCCTTGGAGTCAGCCCTTGCTACCAGGTTTTTTTTTACCGGTGACATTTTAGCCCTGCCTCCTTGGAATTAAAGGTGCGGTGTTTTTGTCTTTTTTTTTTTTTAATTAATTGTCTTTAACAATTTAAATTACATGTAAGACACACTTACATTTGACCTTCTTAGCTCCAAAGCAGTTAATTGGTTCATGCTCCCTAAGTGTCATTTGAGTGATACTGTAAATCCTAAAAACTTCTGGCCCAGACTGAGCAGTCCCAGGTTTGAAGGACACTTTTAGCAAAGAAGGACCCACAGATTACTTGGCTTGGTAATTAGAGTCCCTTCTTTCATGATATGGAGCAAAGTCCTGTCAGATACTTGTCATTTTTATTTTCAAATTAATTCTTTTAATGACCCTAAGCAACTTGTTTCCTTTTCCTGGAAATTAGAAACAGGTTGTGATGCTGTCTATGCTCTGAGTACTGCTGAGTAATTGGTACCAAGGAGACCCAGGGCTCTTGAACTCACTGGTGTCTCTGCGGTTGACATTTTAATTCTACATTCTATGATGTTTATTTGGATGTGGCCTGATGGACTTGGGTGTATAAATGACTAATAATGTCAGTTAAATGGTAGTCAGTTAAATGGTAATAAATGGTAGTTAGTTAAATTATCGTTTGTGGAGAGCCCATTGGAAGCTCTTTCAAGAGACAAGGGAAATTAAGAAGGGAGTCCCTTTTTAGCTGGGGGCTTGGTTTTAGCTGTGATTCAGAAAATCACAACAGCTTTCTGTATGTCATTGTTTGGTCTTCCTTTTTCAGTCTCCTGCAGAACTTGAGAGCACTTGTAGCCATGAATGAAAATCTGAAAAGTCAGGAACAAGAGTTTAAAGCACATTGTCGAGTAAGTGTTGCTTGATGTCAGCTGACCTTGAACCAGACTCTTGTGAAATGTGTCACCTTACTTCCCCTTGTCCTCTTGTGGCGTCCTACTCAGGTGCCATCGGAAAAGTCGATTCCCAGAGCAGTTCTGTCAGTTGAGTAAGAGGAATAGGGTGCGACAGTGGGTGCTCCCCAAGGGTACCGGAAGTAAGTGAAATTAGTACCTGGGTGTGCCAAACCCCAGATTGAGAGCACAGTCTCACAGTCTAACAAACATTAATTTACGAACAAGTATCTATTTAAAAGTCTCATGAAGTGTGAAAGAATAGCCTCATGCGACCCAGGGCTGTGCCGTCAGCATAGGTTGTCTGTGTGTCACGTGAGAAGCCCTTGCCCCTGGCGGTCTGGTGGTGGGGCAGTGTGTGCCCAAGTCCATTTATTAGCACTCTAAGTTCTGTCAATGTTTGTTTCCCTTTTAAAGGAAGAGATGACACGGCTGCAGCAGGAAATTGAAAACCTGAAAGCTGAGAGAGTGCCGGGCGGAGATGAAAAGGTAAATGCAGGCTCCGAAGGACCTGTTAGGTGCTGCTGTGACTTACCAGCGGAAGGATTTCTGGAGGACTCCAGCAGTGAGTCTCATGCTGAGAAGGACCAGCCCGCTTCCAGGTCCTCTGCACGCATACTTCTCAACTGTTTTCCTCACAGGATTGTCTTATATTTCCGTGGCTGCCCTTTCTCCTCTGCTGGTGGGTAAAAGGCAGCAGTGGGTGTGCTCAGCAGCAGCTCCAGACAGGACTAACCGAATGACGGGTCTGGCCGCTCCTTCCATTTAGGAAAGGGTATTTCTAGGAACCTGCTGTTGCCCGTGCAGCATGTCCTCTGAGTGTCTTACTGCTTTATTCATTCCATCCTCCACTCCTGCCTAGCAACAGGCCCCACTCCTAAAAGGCAGCAGTAAGCAAGAAACTAGAGGTAGCATCAGAGCCCCAACAGCACTGAACATTGCAGGGCATATGGAACATATCTGACCAGTGCTCTCAGGACCGAGGCCTTGGTCCTCCAAGGAGCTAGTGTGAATTTCCATTAAAAGTTAAGTTAAAACACAGGCCAGAAAGAAAAGTGTTTCTCTCACCAAATAAGATTGTAGGGATTGCTGTTTGTGTTTTCCCTTCTCACAGTTCATTCCAGGCTCGTTCTCTGAGGCCCCCTAGGCTGAGGATGCATGAGCTGGACCTGGTCTCTGAGCCCCTTGACTGCACTCTCTCCCTTTAGAACTAGCTTGAACAGCTCAAGGCTCAGGGAGGGGATGGGACTGGTCCAAGCCAACCAGCACCCATCTGTGTGCCCTCAGCTCGGGGACCGTGCCCCTGGCTGTGTCCAAGCCGGCCGGCACCTGTGTGCATGCCCTCTGCTTAGGGACCGTGTCCTTGGCTGTGCAGCACGTGTGTCTTGAAGGTGCCTCCATGCTGCTGGGACAGGCCTGGCACGGAGGAGTAGCAGAGTCTGGCCGTGCAGTGCAATGGTGTCCTGGGACCGTCAACACCCAGATGGCCTTTCCAGTTGTTTCTAAAACTCTGAACCTTTAGGGCTCAAGTCATCAGCCCAATTAGCCTCTGAGTTTGTATAAATCAGACTTTCAGGATCCTATTTTTCTTCTTGGCAGTCCCATCTTGTTAGAGGGATTATCCCATTCAAAGACAGTTGCTGTTTACCTTGTTTGGGTGTGACACCCATTTAGGAACAATTTAAAATCTGGGGCCTGAAGACGGTCAGTGAACTGTCCCCCATGCCCACCCTGACTGCTTCCTGCAGTGCAGACCCACAGCTTCTGTCCCATTTCCCTTACTCAGGAAAGTGTGTGTTCCTTTTCTATGTTTCAGAGCCTATCTGCTGGAGAGCCACGTGGTGCCCTAACCCCCATGATGACTCCTAGTGTAAGTGCCCACCTACCTGTTGGCACTGCCGCTGTCTTCCTCGGGCGCAGTGGCCAGCACTGTACCCTCCCCTGACAGCTTCTCCTGCTGATTTGTCTTCTCTGTGACCACCACTTCACGGGCGGGGTCTTGAGGGCTTGCCCCATTGTACACTCATAGCCCCTCGGACAGAAGTGGGGTCTCCGCAGGGATGGCCCTGAAGACTGCCATTCTGGTGGGGTTTCTCCCACCACTCTGTGCCTGTCCCAGGCATCTGTGTCTGCTCTGGCATCTCGGCTGAGAAGGGGAGGCTCCTGACTTGGCCATACAGGATTGTCACAACACATAGGCACTGAGGGGCGGAGGTGATGCACGGGGAAAAACTCTCTACCGTACTACAGTTCAAGGTCAGCAAACTGTAAAGAGCCAAATAGGAAATACTTTCAGTGTGGTGTGCCAGCCCCACTCTAGCAGCCATAGTCAGTATGTAAATGAAAGGACGTGGTTATGTTCCTGTAAAACTTTATCTACAATAAAGCAGTGAGGCTTAGCTCAACAGGCAAGTTTGCTGACCCCTGTTCTCAGTTAAACCCATGCTCCCCACACTCCAATAAACACATCCAGGAGAAAGAAAAAAAGGAAAGGAGGAAGAAGAGCAAAGCAGGAAAGCCTATAAAGGTTTGCCTCCTGTAATGTTCACCTCTTCCCCTTGTGGCCTCAGACTGAGCTTCAGGAGTCCTGTAGTACAGCCGTGTGGGGTTTGGGTGCCGCCAAGCCCTGTGGAGGAGACGGAGTGTGTTTGTGTGGGGGGTGCCTGCACGTGTACACACATGTGCTGGGGGAGAAGCCCCCTCTGACCCTGTTCATCGCTTGCTTTGGTGCAGCAAACCACGTCACCGTGTCTTTTACCTCACTGGGCTCAGCAAGAGCTAGTTCCTCTCTTGTGCTTCAGTGCTGTCCAAAAGAACTTTCTGCAGCGAGGGCAGTGTTCTGTATCTGCGCTGTTCCGTACGACAGCCACCAGTTCCTTGTGCTACTGAGCCCTTGACATGCAGCTGTTGCAATTGAGAAACTGAGTATTTTTAAATTTCATTTAATGTAAATTTAAATAGCCACACACACCTAGCATCTATCACGTTGGACAGTAGAGCTCTAAGTAGAAACAAAGAAAGCAAACCAGTGTCACTATAAACACGGTGACTTCGAACACCAGGTTCCTTAATAATTATCTTCTTATCATCATAGTTTTGGAGGGGGGGAGGCACATAAATTTGGAGGATACTTCACTTAATAGCGCTAGACCTCAGAAAAAGGAAGAACTGTTAGAAAGTGAGGTTGAAAGATTTTCAAGGGATTCACAGGACATGGGACCCAGACCCTAAACTTGGCCATTTGCGAAAAGAAATTTGGGGCCTCGGAATGGAGAGATGTGATCAAAATAAAATTCAGTCTTAAAATAATTTATCGAAGATTGAAAGCTGCCTGCTTTTATTTATTTTTTATTTATTTATTTGACAGACTCAGACTTTTATTTATTTATTTGACAGACAGAAGCAGGCTCCCTGGCGAGCAGAGAGTCCGATGCGGGGCTTGATCCCAGTACCCTGGGATCATGACGTGAGCTGCAGGCAGAGGCTTTAACCCACTGGGCCACCCGGGTGCCCCAAAAGCTTCCTGGTTTTAGATAATTGTGTCCTTTTCCAATTTTTAGGAAGACCTGGACAGACGATATAACATGGAGAAAGAGAAACTTTACAAGATCCGTTTGCTACAGGTAAGTAAAAGCAAGAACAGAAAAACAAGTACACCTGCCTGGGTATCCTGGAGAGGACTACGACGTCTCAGTGTCTAAGAACAATGGGTACGAAGGCTGCTATTTGCCAGTCTTCAGTCTGGAGGGGAACTACGTGGTTTAAGATGTTGACAGTAATACTTCACATTGGTTCGTTACTTTCACGGTCATCTCGATGGATTTGACCACGATCCCTGCATGGAGAGTAGGTATTACCTTCATTTTCTATACGAGGAGATCGACTCCAGTCAGTTAAGTACTGTCCAAAGTCACGCAGCTGGTAAGTGCCAAAGCCAGCCTTCAGGTTCCATTGCTCTTGTCTAGTACTTTTCCTCTAAAATCATGTGCCCATTTTAGCGGTCTTATTTGATAAACTTGGAGGTTTGTAAGAAAGCCATCAAATATGAGGGAAGTAGGTTTTAGAGTTGGTTCCAAAGCTGAAGTCACATAGAGTCATAATTTCATTGCACGATTCCCTGGCATTGCCAGGATCTGACTCACGGAAGCTCGGAAGCCCGGAGTTAACCCTTGTTGTTCTTTGCCGTGGGCCTTCTCCCTGTTCTCGGGGAAGAGAAAGCCAGGCTCCAGCGGGAACAGTCCAACGGCTGCAGGGCCTTGTAAGCCCCTCTCTCCTATCTCTGGCTCTTGCTTCCTTTGCAAGCTGTTTGGTTAAATTCAGTACATCAGATTTGTCCTTGATACAGGGACACTGCTAATCTTTAAAGAAACAGAATTAAATGGAACCTGGAAAATATATAGCTGCATCCTTGAAGACTTTGTGACTCTGTGTCCTGTATGGATATTCAGTGCTGTGCTAGGCGCCAGGAATAGAAAAGGGATGGCCCATCTTCCAGGAGCTGGCTGGCTATTTGAGAACCAAGATATATCCCTATCCATGCAAGTACAAGGGAGTTGTTATGCAAATTGCCTATCCTGGGCAGCTTCAGACTCGCTAGAGGGAAGCTACAGTAAAACCATAAGCTTCCTGAGGGCCTGAGCCAGAGTGGGGGCCGTGGGCCCAGGCAGACATGAACTGGCACAGGAGAGATTGAGAAGCTGGTGCTTGAATTTCTGACTCAGGTGGGTACTTGTATTATTCACTGAGAAAAAGCATTAAAAAAAGAACAAGGTTCAAGGGTGTGTGTGTCTGTCTGTGTGTGTAGGAGTGTTACTTAGATCTGTTTGCGGCTCTTAAAAGTTGGGCACTCAACCAAATAGAAAAGCTTTTGAGGGGTGAGGGACATTAGCTTATCTAAATGCTGGTGAGAAAGAGCCAGTAGAAAAGGAAAGGCTACAGATGGAGTAAAAGCAGTAAGATTCCTGAAACAAACAAACGCAATTCAGGAGTCAAAGCCTGAGCCCCCAGGGACAGGGGAGCCTTGGCCAACAGGACAAGCACATTTTCCCCTCTGACCAGACCCACAGAGACCCTGCTCTGGGTTTGATGGGTTTCTCTCCGGGAGGCTTGCATTTCCCCGGTACTTAGAGACCCCCACGTGCTGTTGTGAGCAGGGAGGCCGGCAAGGGAGATGAGGTGACACAGAAGAAAGGGGACGGTGTGAGAGCCCAGCCACGCCGCACTGCTCTGCCTCCCCAGGTGCTGTCAGTGGCCAGTTTGCCTGCTGTACCCCCCAGTCCATGGTAGGGCAGAAGTAGGAGGAACACACCGTAGGAGTAAGTTGTTCAAGCGTTTCAGTAGGCTAAGGAATTTGGAATTTATATGGAGGTAGCAGGGTGGTGTCCATTCTTCATCACTGGGAGGCCTGCCTTTTCATTCCCACTCCCCACCTGCTGATGGCGGAGTCAGCTACTCGAGTCCTCTGGGGCCTGGAGGGATGGCTGAGGGCTGTCCACAGAAGCCCTTCCCACTCAAACTCTTCCATCCCTCACCATTCATTTGCTGCCTTCTCTGGTTCTAGTTCATAGCCACACACACACACCTTCTCCCTGTGTTGCAAAGTGGGAGGAGGGGCCATCTGAGATGGGGTCTTCAAGCCAATAGCAGATTTTGGGGTGGGGTGTGTGGTTATGCTCAGAAGGAGGTGGGGCAATATTTTGGCTCCCCAGAGAACATGTAAGATCTTTTACCAAATAGCATTGTCTCCCCCTTCCTTTTGCTTTTAGGCTCGAAGAAATCGAGAAATAGCAATTTTGCACCGCAAGATTGATGAAGTCCCCAGCCGAGCTGAGTTAATACAGTATCAGAAGAGATTCATTGAACTCTACCGTCAGAGTAGGTGCAGTGAACACAGTCATGCTCCACACTGGGCCTGGGAGGCACGGGGGGCAAGGGTTCTGTCCCATGTGCGCGGGCGAGGGCGTGCATCGTGACAGTCAGTGAGAACCACCACCTGCCATCATCAGGCCCCCTGGGCCCTCATTCCGCAGAGCCCACTGCTAAGTGACTCTTAATCCCAAGAGCAGCCCTGGGACACTCTGCCGCCCTCTCTGTGGCCAGATAGAGCTCACTGAGCTCCTAGCGTGACGTTTTGAACCCACCCTCTTCCTGGTCAGCCGTTTGGCCACTGAGCTCCCCGTCCGCTTTCCAGCCTTACCCAGGACATGAACACTCCATGATACAGGCCTCTGGATCAGTCCTTGGTCACTGTTCTTCTAGGTGAACCTTCTTGCCCATGTGGTCTGACTTTGACGTCACTGTGTTCACCCAGTAATCCAGGACTGGGTCTCCCTCAGCTGGAATCAGTGAGCTGGTCCTGTCAGGTTCAGAGTGACCCTCAGAGTTGTCACTGCCACTCTGTTCCCACTGCCACTGTTGTAACTGTTCTTAATTGTGTCAGAGCTCAGCTCAATGACCGTTAGCTGGTCTGAGTCCCTCACCCGCTGTCATGTGCCCTCTCTCTCTGCTGACCAGTCTTCAGGAGTGCTGTGGGCCTCCTGAAGAAAACATTTCTCCTCCTTATCTCCAGAACCTCCCCAGTCTGAGCAGCCTGCTTGGAGCCCGCCTTTCCTTCTCCGAGCCCACATTCTGGCTTCCCCAGTGCACACACCACCCCTCCACACACCATGCACTTTGACACACAGCTTAGACCTTGACTCCTCTCGTTACCTGTGCCTGGGACCCCTTCCCAACTCTTCAGACCCAGCATATACAAAACTGAATTCAGCCTCCCTACCCTGTTTCTCCTTCTGGTCACGGGGGTGACTGTCTAGCACTCCCAGCCCCTTAGTCTTCTCTGGCTCTCGCTGCTCTTCTGGTTCTATCTCCAAGTAACGGTCAGGTCCGTTTCTTCTAGACTGTTGCTGTAGCCACCTTCTCATCACTGCCCAGAGTCTGCACTCTTGTCTGAGAAGTCTTTCCCAAACAGAAATTTGATCACTTTATACTCTTGCTTTAAAAGCGTTAACATGGAGTAGCTCTCCATAATCATTGGGGGATCTTCAGGTCCTCATGATACTGATCAAGTGTCCTGCATCAGTCAGGCCAGCTTCCCCGGCTATCCCTCAGTGTCTCACCCATCTCGTGAGGACATCTGCCTTTTGGCCTGTGAGCTGCTCCCCAAGTCCAGAATTCCACTGTCCTGCAATTCTCACTTGGCAGACTCCATCCCTTCTTCTAGAATCCCCCTCAGGTTTTGCCTTGGGCTCTTGGCCTCTCGAACATCCTTCCTGGTTCAGGCCAGAGCAGGGTCCTTACTCGGGTCAGAGTCATGCTTCCCTTCATACCTGCCCCCATCCTGATGTTGTATATGGCCCTTGAGCTTGGTTCAGGTGGTCTGGGCCAGGTATCAACAGTGGCAGCTTCTCAGCAGAAAATAGTTCCTGCCTTAAGTTCAATCTTTCCCCATAATTCTGTATCCCTGCCTACTTTCCAGCTTTTTTTTTTTTAAAGATTTTATTTATTTATTTGACAGACAGAGATCACAAGTAGGCAGAGAGAGGTCGGGGGGAAACAGGCTCCCTGCTGAGCAGAGAGCCTGATGCGGGGCTCGATCTCAGGACCCTGAGACCATGACCCAAGCCAAAGGCAGAGGCTTAACCTGCTGAGCTACCCAGGTGCCCCTACTTTCCAGCTTTTAACAGTAATAATAATCAACAATACCTTGCATCTGTGTATTTCAGAGTAAAATTTGACACATGTTCAAGTCCTTTTGATAGCACATTTTTACATCAAAGAAATTTTCAAGGAGTTTCACCAAAATATCTATATCATATTTCATTATTATTATTGTCAAATATCTACAGCCCCCACCCAGTCCTTGATCTGGATAGAGGAAGGGTGACAGGCACATTCCTGAGCAACAAAACTAAAGGTTGATTGGTTTGTTTATGGCAGTGATTTTCAGCCTTGGCTACCTGTTGTAATCACCTGACCCCAGCTCCAGAAAATCTCATTTCATTGGTCATGAGATTTTAAAACTCCCCAGACTTCCATGTTTTGGCCAGGATTGAAATCCACTGTTCTGAAGTTCTGAGCAAGAATCGTATTTTAGGGGCACCTGGGTGGCTCAGTGGGTTAAAGCCTCTGCCTTCTGCTCAGGTCATGATCCCAGGGTCCTGGGATCGAGCCCCGCATCGGGCTC